CTAAATGATTCTTCCTGGGCTGGGATGATAAATGGGCCTAATTGGTCCATTTGGGAAGAGATCTATTGTCTGATAATTTCATGTGAGTGGCCCATGACCCGAACCCAATAAAATGGAACAAGCTGTATTTCTGAATAGCAACTTTAGTTGTGAAAGGAATTGATTAAGTGTTAGTTTCTCTAGGCCGTTGATCTCAATCTGAGATCAACAGTTGCGCTACGTTGTATAAATGTAACCCATTAAGGTTTCTTTCATTCATTCTAATCGTTTGACTTTTGAGTGAGGCTAGGGTTCTCTCTTTGCTCATGCTCGTCTTCTTCTGAAACTTCTGGTTTGATGTGTTCTTGAGTGTCTTGATAACATTCTTTAGTATCTGTGATTTTGAGCGAGTGAAGAGATTTGGGTTGAGGTTTACGGTTCATTGAAACAACTTCCCTGTATGACCATAACGATTGTATAAGGACACAACAATCTGAGCCCGATTCTTTGATACCTTATGCCTTTGGATTCTAATTGTAAAACGTTTAGATCTTTTAATTCAAATTTTGTTCCTGTAATCTTATTTTGTATGTCAGCATTCGGCTATCATGTTAAACTCGTAAGTTAAAAGATTTAATTCTTTGTTTTCACCTACTAAAACCGTGTAACATATATGCATTTTGAACTTTGAAGCCTATAAATATGTACAATGTAAGGACTTGCAGATCATCCAATGTGAATAAGAAAAAGTTTCTTTAATATGGTCTCGTCTCTTTTATAATTTATCTTATTTTACTTTCATTTTACGATATTTGGTATGTTTTTTAGCGGACTAAATATTATTAAAATGAGTCAATAAATGAATATTTTATGCATTTCTCTTTTACGTTTTTGTCTAGTGGTGCTATGTGTACACAATCTTTTACACCTCCCTCACATAGAGGGGGGCCCACACACAATAAAATATTTGTGCCCCCCTCCATGTGGGGGGGGGGGGTAAAGATTGTATACACCACAAGGTGTACACATAGCATTATCCTTTACTATATAAGTGTAATTGCCAACTTGTAATAAGTATCGAAAGCAATTTCCGCACCTTCCAGTACAAATATTTACACGTCTCTTTCTCTTTCTCGTTGCTATTCAATCCTTATTTACATCTCGATGAATCTAAATTCAAATTTTGTTCCAATAGAAAAATCTAAATTCACTTTTTGCCTATTGTGGATGTAAATATATATATATTTTCTGTCGAAAAATATAATTTACATGTCCTTTGTATCTCTCAATTGAAAATGTTTCTTACCACCTTGAAAATTTAAATCACAATTTAGATCCATTTTAAATCACGATTGAAGATGCTCTTAGAAACTGATCTAGCATGTGAATTGTGAAAATCCAATTTTTTTGAAAAATCACATCGTTTTTTGGGATTCGTGTCTAAATTTTATTATCTTATATTCAATTAAATATCTCTATGATCCAATTGTATTTACTTGTTAGTTCTGAATCACGTGAGAGGACGTGCTTACAGAGTCACGTGCGCTAATGCATCGAACCTGTTTTTTCCTGCTCGTGTCAAATAAATGGAGAAAAATAATTTTTTTTAAAAAAAATGAAATGTTAGTGATGATCTTTTCACCTAATTTTCCTTTGAAGATTGAGAAGACTTACAGTACCATCGAGATTAAGGCAATGAGTCTGCGGTTAAATATCAAGTTTTTGTTTAATAAGCAGTATTAAATATAACTAAAAAATATTTTAAATTATTTCTCTTTAATTTTATTTAATACTATTTAAACACGCTATAAGAAACTAGTTACACACTAAGAGACTTGATACTTGATTATGGTTGAGAATAGGGTTGGACAAAACTCCCGAACCGCTTGGTTCGGTTCGATTTTCAAATTTAGACCTAGAATCGAACAACCGAGTAAAAATCGAATCTCCCTAATTTTTTAAATTTTTTTTATCTTAAATAAGTAAAATTATTATATTTTTTTCTAAATGAATTTGCTAACTAATTAATTTAGTTCAAACATAAAATATAATTTTACTATTTTCAATTTTCATCTAAGCCAAACTTAATCAAATTGACCTAAATTTTATCCAAATCTCTTATTCTACCGTAGTATCGTTTCTGCAGTTCTATTATTGTGAACTCGCTATCGTCCTCTTCATGTGATTTTAACAGTCATATCTATGAAGAACTCAACAAAGAAATGTGCAAAAGATATCAAAAGATTAGACTATGTTATTTTGTAAGAGTTAAGATTGAACATGTTATAGTCGAATTAATGTAGCGTTATTATAAATATAAGAAAAATTAATTATTGTACAGAATTCGGGAACCGAATAAAACCGAACTCGAACGGTTCCATAAATAAATTTGGACCCCACGGTTCCATTTACTAAATACTCGAAAATTTCGATTCAGTTCGGTTCGGTTCTCTTCAGAACGGAATCGAATCGGACCATGTTCCGCCCTAGTTGAGAATTCTTAAATATTTCTAAAGCAATATATGCAAATATTTAAATGGCTGTGCCCATAGGCCAAGTTGAACCTAGCCCCTTGATCAATGGGCTGAGTCCAGTTTGCCTAATGGGCAGATCCGAGCCTGGGTAACTGGTCCAAACCATTTGTCACTCCCAGTAATCTTTGAAGACGACATAATAGTGACAAAAATGAAATTATGTACTGCCCTATACAATTTGGCCCAAAATTTGTCCAAATTTTCTGTACTGGAAAAGGCTAAACCATTGAAGCCCAAGTAAATGGGCTCGGGTCAGCAAAATCGTGTTTTTTTTCCCACCAAGTATAGGAACTAAAAATAATAATAAAAATAAAACAAATTTTTTCATGCCTCCTATTTTCTGTTCCATTCTTTGGGATATGCTCGGTACAGTTGATAGAGTCAACGTTCATACAATAAAAACATATTTTTTATTATTTATTTTAAACATATTTAGGACATGTTATTTTTCTTATATGAAAAAATAAAAATAAAAAATCACGCACTTGGGAATGGTTATCGTTGGAGATTGCATGGACGGTGTAAGGTCTCACTCGAGTCAAAATGGTTTTGAATGAGCCATTCCTGAAGCTATACTTATAGAATGTTGGAGTTAGTTCACAAATAAAAATAAAGCCCCTTTTTGTCTACCATTTTTCCAAAAATTGTTTTCTACAGTAAACAATCTCCACCACATATTCGCCTAATAAAATATTCTACACATAAACCAATAAAATTACTTTAAATTTCAACCACACATTCTCCAAAAAATACTATTCATTACACCATTTTCCTCCCCATAATGGTAGACAAATAGGGGCAAAATATAACAAAGGTTGGACTTAGTACGATTTTTCTATGTCGGATTGTACCATGCATGTCTACATTGGTTGAATCGATCATTTTTAACTAAAATTTAAAAACTAAACTTCAAATTCTTGATTAGATTTAAGTATAAACACGATTCGTTTTAAAGAATTTTTGAACTATTTTCAAACCAAAGAATTTCAAGCTAAAAACCTAACAATTTCATTTTTCAAACAATGATCATTTCTTTCTAACCAGTTTGATTTCAAACTACTATTTGAACTACATAAAAATAATATTTTTCAAAGAAATAAAGAGTTAAATCATATCAGTATGAAATCCAAGTATCACACTTACAAATCGAAACTTTTTAATATGAACGTTAATTTACTATTATATCCCTCTCGATACAAACTTAAATCAACGAGTCATTATAAGATTCAATAGTAAAATTTAGTATTTCTAAAATAGATAAAAAATATCGTAAATATTATTTCCTTAAAGACGTATCATGTAAATTTATTAAAGCATAAATTGAATTCGGAAATTTGTTATATGTTTGAAAATTGAATTATTTTCAAACATTTTAATTTTATTTTGAATTAAAATGAACTCAATTTAGGGCGTGTTCGATAGAGATTAAAATCAGATTAAAATTAAAATTTTATTAGATGAATGAGATTCAATAACGATCATATTTTCAATTTTAATCGAAAACAAACAGGCTGTTGATAATTTCGACGGTGGATTGACGGTTTTTTTCACCCCTAGTTGGCTAGTTGGATCTATACAAAAGTGAATTTGGTACATTGGCTACACCTTTTGGTAAAGTGTGGAGCCCACGTTAAC